TACTATTGTGCTTTCCTTTCACGGATCCTCTGATGAGCTAGTTGATGGCAGGGCTAACGAAAAACATGTTTAAGAGACTTTGTCAATACCCTAGCTGAGTATAACGGTTGAACCCTCACCTACCCTTCGTGTGGTAACATGGTGATGGTTATATATGTTGAAGAGAACCATCCCTTGTAAGTTACACTAGGCTTGGGCGATCTTTTATGATGAAAACTTACAGTGTGTATAACCGATTAGCTTTGTGACTGCATGTGTTGTTGATCTCTGTTGGGCGATTACTCCTCCTCCTCCTTCTCCCCTATGTACTTTCGTGCATGGATGGATATGGGAATGCGGATATTTAGATAATGTATGCAGGTGATGAGCAAGAATGTTGAGGATGCTAGAATGGACGTTACATGTGAAGCTTCTCGAGCAGGGCGTTAAATGCTGACTGATGATGATCGTGGACGGGGCCAGATAAGGGATGAGATCATGGTGACAAAGGAAGTAGGATGTGGCAAGGGTTTCATTTGGTATATGATGTTGCTTTGCCTGTGGAAGAATCTATGGAAATAGGGGAAAAGAAAGAGGGAATGGCATATATGCCCAGAAGTATCGAGGTGGAGTACGGTGAAACATCACACTATAGAGGAAGTGAGAGGGTGTGGGAGAGGAAGAGGTGTTCAACAGAAAAATTGTGGGCATTTTTTTTGGCAGTTTATCAAATGTGGGCACCCCTTTTGAACTGTTGGTTTCGTGTTAATAAACAGTTTGGCGGGGGTAGTGTCATGTGTTCCACCAAAAGTGAAGGAACTCAATGTTGATAACATACGTTATAAACATGCGACACTGTGTTCAACACTTGTTCAGTTGTTGAAAAGTTGTTGAAAAGTTGTTGAAATGTTGTTGAAATGTTGTTGAAAATCTGATGATCAACTGTTGAACATTTCAAATATTGTTGGGAATATTTAAAATTTGTCAGAAAGCTGGCCCCTTGTTGTTATTTATCACTGTTGGTATTAAGAGAGAGAGAGAGAGAGAGAGAGACAGAGAGAGAGAGAGATTTTCCCTCCCAAACTGATGATGTCAGAGAACTGACCCTGTTGCTATTTGTCACCTTCATCTCACCCTGTGTAGCTTCTGTGAACCTTTAATGCAGCGCCATAGGCAAATGCCTGATGGATGTGAACGAAATGTCCGATGGTTGGCTACCGGGTGCCAATTTCCAGCATCATGCCCATGCATGACAAAAACATGGCACGCAGTAGTCAACCATTCATGTACTTCTTGCCCAACATTAAAATGAACATGTTTTCTAGTGTCTTCCCAATACTGCTTTCTAACATTATATTCAACATTTTTGGAAGTGCGTAATCCGTTTTCTGCTCATTTTTATCAAACACGATTCATGTTCTTGCAAAATCATATGTTGACATATTTTGACCCACATTACACATGACGTATTGCGTATCCTTGCAAGACAAACAACAATGTGTACAATAAATTAATAGTGAGTAATATGAGATGCGAAACACAAATGCTACGTGATGGTCGAAACACATCCACGACAGGTCTTGTACAAAACCATTTATTAAATAACACATGTTTGTTTTTTGTATACTCAACCCAAAGGGTTCTCCAGAGCCTTTTTTTTCCAAATAATAACTCTCTCTCTCTCTCTCTCTCTCTCTCTCTCTC